TGAACTTTATAAGAAGCCTTAGCAAAAAACTAAACTGTTATAAGTTCCATAAAAACCATTTACAAGCTGAGTGGTGGTGCACACCTAATAATCCCAGCACTCTGGGAGGCTAAAGCAGGAGAATTGCAAGTTCAAGTCCATCCCAGACAATTTAGTGACCTAATGAAAGCCTATCTCAAATAAAAGAGACCTGGGCACATAGCTCACTTGCTAAGGCCCTGGGTTCAGTCCCTGATATTTAAAAAACAAGTACTTTTATTCATTGTATAAACATAAGTAAGATCAAGTTTACATCATTTAAGATCATGTATTTTAGTAACTTCTGAAATACGGTTTTAATAGCTACCACATTAAATTATTTAAAAAGAGGACTTATTAAGATAAAATAAGTATATGGATATTAGTTTAAACCATGTAGTAACAACTGGAATATATTCTAATATTTAAGAATGAAACCCAAAGCACAGACTATATAAGTAATTAAATTTGACATGTTATATAACCAAATAATGTTTCCCCATAAGCATATATTTTATTTGTGTGATTTTAAATTCTCTACGCTGAAAATTGTCAAGACTCCTTTTCAAGTGATAAGCCATTCCAAGGACATTTATTCAAAATAAGACAGAACATGAACTAAAATCTAAACAGAGTCTCAACACATTTTATAACTTCCTGTTCAAGCTGCATGAGTAGAAGACAAAGAGAAAGCAAAGAAGCAGGAGGTTGGGTGCTCACATACCCGCATCCAGGAGCCTATGGAAGGCTCTGGAAAGATAACTCAGAGCTAACAGGCCTCTCATCACTGTACCTCCGGGCTCTCATTTCAGATTCCCTGAAAAGACAAGCTGGCCCAGTGGGGCAGCGGTTTCCCGCCTGGCTCAGTTATCCCTGGCCATTCTGCAGAATGTGAAAACTTTAAAGTTGTACTGCACGTATTTTGAGGAGATGAAACTTTGATTCAACTTGCAATAGGAATCCCAAAGCAGCCACAGCATTCAATGAAGAATACCCTGATTTGGATGTTTGAGTTCTAGCATCTCCATATCTAATACTCAGAAGCTTTATAGTCATACCTAGCAGATAAATGCATACATCTCCTATTCCTATCACCCTACTCAGCTAAGTGGTGCAATGAAGTCTAGAGTCACAGATTCTGAATTCCCTTGAGGATGTGGACGTGACCCTCTCTGTCCCACATCTATCCAGCGTGCATAATCTGAAACCCGACCAACCACACTAGTACATGGATATTTTTCCCTAGGAGTAATCAATACAGTGTGTTGATTCATGAAAACGGATGAGCAAAACACAACCAAATAAAATTAATTTTATACTGATTGAAAGGAATCATCAAAGAAAGCATTTAATATTAACAATTGCCCACCACATTTTTCCACTCTGTAATAAATGTTCTTTCTCTACTTTTGGAAGATGAGTTTCATCTGTGACCTTTGCCCAAAGGCTTATAAATCCTGAAATATTAAGGATTATTTTGGACTTTTTCTGTTGAAGAGAAAACTTTGTTGCCTCCAGCATTAGTCAGTGAGGCCTTGCTCCTAACCGTATAGACAGTTTTGATATAGAACAAATTTGCAGGATGGAAAAAAAGCATATGATCATCAAATAAAAGCCAGATAATAATACTTTCTTTTTTGTTTATCTTTTCTTTTCCCTTTCTTTTTTTCCTTCATTTTTGCACTTCTGGTGATTGAGCTCAGGGCTTGCACACTAAGCTAGCTACATCCCCAGCTCTTATTTTTTTATTTTGAGAAAGGGTTTCACTAAGTCACTAAGTTATCCAGGCAGGCTCACACTTACAATCCTCCTGTCTTAGCCTCCCAGATTCTGTATACCTAACATTACAGGTGCACACCAACGTACCCACCTGTGTCTTTTTAAAAAAAAAATACCTGCGAACTGACAATTTTTAATAACTTACTTGTGTCACTCAAGTCTGAAAGCTTCCTCTTCCCCTGAGCTACAGCCTTGCAGAAAAATGCCAGAAAAGTCATCCACTGCTTATTGGTCCAGGGACCCAGTGTTCTGAGTGTTCATTGTCCTGTGTGTGTCCTTTGCAACACTTGAGGCAGGGCAAAGATGAAGAAGAGTGGGCAGGAGGCTCCAGGTTCACTGCACCAGCTGGGAAATGAAAGAAGTTTGCCACCCTCACCCACCCTCCACCTCAGGCAGCCCCAGCCACACCCCACTCATCTCATTTTCTGCGTTTTCTCTCTGTAGGAAAAAAAAATAATAATGCTAACACTCAAATGCATATGCACTTAGAGGAAAATGAGTTAGTACATCGCTCCTACTCAGGAATCTACAGGGAAGGTAGTATAATTTGGGCCACCTAAGTCTGAGCAGGAGAAAGGTGGGGTTTGGAGCTATTTCCAGCTCCTCTTTGAAAGTCACACAAACTAACCCAAGGCCCAGCCCATCAGGCACTTGTTTCTTCTGTAGTCCCCTCTCCTCAGAAAACCCTCTTCCAAATATCTTGGCCAAAGGCCAGGTTATAACTCTGAGTGCTCATTCACCAGAAATTGGGGGAGGAGGACTTGTCAGATACATGAAATCAGAGGGGGAAGAAAAAAAGAAGTGAATGCTTTTGGATCTTAGGAAATTGAAGGCCAGAGTGGTCACTACATTTTCTAATTTTTTGTGCTGGAGTCAAGACCCAGAGCTCGGTCTGTTCCTCTCTTGGCGCACAGCCCTCCAGCTCACGCTCAGCTGCAAGGCCCACTCGGAGCTGCCAGGAACCAGCAGGGCTCTTCTTTTCCAGTACAGTACGTACCTGACTTAGGAACATTCGAGTTGTGAACTTTTGCAGATAGGAAGGGGCCGCACATTGCAGAGAAGCAAACAAATCGCGGAAGTAGCTCACACGTCTGCCCGACATTGTCACAGTTACGCTGTGCGCTTGCTGTACAATGCGGACAGCAGTACATGGCTCAAGGCCCAGGACGCCCGGAAGCAAGGGAAACGCACTGGTGTTGTGGAAGTTTGATTTTTTATGCTTTACATTACATATTTATGTCAAAAGTGTGTAAGGCTCACTTTGTCTGACTTACCATCCATTTGAACCATCCGTTCAAGTGCATTTTCTCCTACTGCATTCCCACCACACAGTTGAAACTTTAATCAGTGATATTATTTTTGTACTTCTCCAAACTAAATTGTCCTTCAGATTAATGTCTTGAATGTCACGAACATTCTCCCAGAACAGTTTGCTCCTAAATCGGGCCCTTGCTGTACTAGGCTCTTTAGAAACAGGGAGTGGTGAATGGCGCCATCTGGTGGCAACAACAGGATTTCCACTCGGTAAAACCCGAGGCAGAGCTCTAACTCAGTGAAGACTGATTACTTGAAGGTATCCTTTTTTATCAGCTAAAAGAGTTTAGGAATGTGAATCTATGTGCTACAGACTGCCACCGGACAGTATGATGACATAAGTAATAATATCTGAAATTGCAATAACTGGGTTTTGAATTTTGTCTAAGTTGGATTTCATTGTTTGAGTATTGGTTCATTTCTTTTCTCTTTATTTATTTAAGTTTTTTGAACAGGATCTCTCAGTGTAGTTTAGGCTGTCCTTGACTCACTGTATAACACAGGCTAGAGTCGACCTCGCAGGGATCCTCCTGTCTCTGCCTCCTGGCTGCCGGGACTACAAGTGTGCACTGTCATACCCAGCCCTGGTTTCAGCATCTACCAAAGACACCTCTCATATATAGGTTGTATTTGTGAAGTTTCCTGTTGATAGAGAGCTTTGTTGCCTCCAGCACTATGCGAGCAGGACATCCTACTAATTGTATAGACAACTTTGCTGCAGAACAAGTTCACAGGATAGAAAAATAAGCATAGGATCAGCAAATAAAAGTACTGACCCTTCCTTTTTTCTGTTTCTATCTTTTCCTGTCTTTTTTTCTTTCCATTTTGCAGAACTAGGGATTGAAGTCAGTGCCTTCACACTGAGCTACATCTCCTGTTTTTTATTTTGAAAGAGTGTTTCACGAAGTCATTTTTTTAAAGAAGGAAAAAAAGGATAACACTGTATATGCAAACATTCTAAGGCTGGGGATATAGCTTGGTAATAGAGCACCTGCCTATCGCGTGTGTGAGACCCTGGGTTTAGTTCCCAGCAATAAAACAAAACAAAGCACCGCTGATAAAGTCTAAAGATGCGAGTTGTTTTTTTGTTTGTTTGTTTGTCTTGTTTTGTTTTTTGGGTAATTTTATATCAGGGATTGAACTCGGGCCCTCGTGCTTGCCAGGTAGGTTCTGTGCCATTGAGCTACATCCTCGGTACATGAGCTCTATTTTAAAATCAGATATTTTAATTTTTTTAAGCTTGCATCCATGATTCCAGGTTCCCATTAACCTTGAGCTGCAGCCTGGGGCCCCCTGGAGCCCAGTGTGTCTGGTCTGGAGCCAGCTTCTCTCCAGAGATTGCTAATCTAGTTGTCATCTTCATTCGCAAGAGGGCCTTGTACTCACTGGGCCCATGATATGAGTCGCTATCCACTGGCCAACTGACTTGGTCAAATGCATTTTCTCCAAGTGCATTCCCAGTACACAGTTGAAACTTTAATCAGTAATATTATTTTTTTACTTCTCCAAACTAAATTGTCCTTCAGATTAATATCTTATTTGCCCTGAAATTAATGTTAGTTATGAATCCCAAATAACCCCTAAAATGTGTAGTTTTTTTTAAATTTTATTTACTTATTTGTTTTTGGTACTGGGGATAGAACTCATGTCCTCACACTTGCAAGGCAGGCAGCGGCACCACTGAGCTAGATCCTAGGCCCTAATATGTGTAATTTTAAAGCAGTGCAAGCCTCCAACTTCTGCCCAAAAAACATGCCATGGTAAAATCCTAAGCAAAGCAGTCCAGTCCAGTAACATCCAACTCATAGACATCAATGACCACGTACAAGTTCCCCAGGCAGCCGGGCCAGAGCGAGAAAGCCAAAGTGTGCCAGGGCCTGAGTGGCCTGAGTGAGGCTTGCACAAAGCCTGGTTTATTAGGAACCATTGGAAAAGCTACAAAGCCCAGACAGCTTTTTGAGCCCCGTCACAAATTGTCCGCTTTGGACAGAACAATGTCCTCCTTGTTCTTGACATCTTGCACGTTGATTTTCAGGCTCCACCGATGTGAAATTAGGAGATCTGGCCTGGACCATGGGACAAGTGGAATGTGCCCTTTTACACTAAGCCTTCCTCGATCTTCTATTCTTTACCTGCAAGGCTGCCCGTGCAATTGTGGCAGCTTCTATACAAGCTTGTCTATTGCAAGGGAATAAAAGATGAGATACAATGTTTAGAAATTATAAAGCATATCTACTAAAATCCTTTTAGAACCAGAAATATCAGCACATATAAAAGTAGGGGAAATGAGAATAATAAAACCCATTGCCTGTTATTCAGATTCAATAATTAGCAACTCCAGATCACATCATTTCTGTTCATTCATTTGGCAAATATTCATTAAATACAAAATATGTCCCAGTACTGTTTAGGTTTTTGAAAACTAGTTGTGAATAAAGCAAAGTCCTGGTGCACGAGAGCCTAGTGTCTAATGGGGAAACAGACCATCACCATACAGTACAATGAGAGCTATAATAATAATAAAAAAAAAAAAGCCCAGCAGGCAGCTAACCTATCTTGAAGAGCTTCCCATGGAAATGACATCTACGCTGAGTCTTGGAGGGTGTGTAGGAGACGTCCAGGGAAAGAGAAAGAGGAACCCACCAGACTAGGCGGGGGTGAGCCAGCAGAGGCAACGCTTCATACCAAGACGCAGGGTGAGAATGAATAAGGCGACTTTAGAGAAATTAGGAACCGCTGACTTGTGAAAAGGAGGGAAGTAACATAGTAGCATTGCCTTTTAGAAAGCTCACCTGTCTGGACAGGGAGCGGTCAGAGTAGTCAGAGGTGTTGTGTAGGCAAAAGGCAGAAACTGTTTAGGAGGCCACTGTAATTTAATTAAGAGATGTGGGGACGTTCCTAAGTGCACACCTGGGGAGGAAGGCCGGCTCTGGAGCTGTCCTTGGGGATTCTGCTAAGTTTCTGCTTTAAGCCAAGGCTGACACTTGGGTCTGGGCTGTGCGTTATGTGTCCCAAGAGAGGGCACTAGCGACCCAGGATACGTCAGAGACTGAGAGCAAGGCTGAACCTGAAATAAGCTGTTGAAAAGCCCTGGAGAACATACTCTGTAAGACTCTCCTTGCATGGAAGAGGAGACCAAGGTATCCAGTCACAAGGTGAACTTGCGGCAGTGTCTTTCATCCCTGCTTGTGGCTTTTGCACTGCTGTGCTTTTGCCAGCCCTCTGCCTTCATTTCAGTAGCACCTCAGGAGAGCAGCAGAGCTAGCAGCAGGTTGCAGAATTTTACTGTATATACACACAACTGGAAAAACAGAAGACTGCTTTAATCTGCGGCAGCTCCATGCCTTGTATTTTTCATTGCTTGCATTAGCTTCTACTTATTCAACTCCTAGGATTTAGTATGGGATTTTTCTTGTCTCATGGTCGCTGATAACAATCTTTGAAAACACTTATGAGGAAACATTACAATATGAACCCTTGCTGAGCTTCTTTATGTTTTCCTAAAGGAAACCATATGAAGTGAATCATTGTAAAGCTTTGCTACTAGATAGAAAATGTTTTATAAAAATAAATAATTAAATAGAAACTTAGGAAAGTATGTAAAGTTTCCGCTCATTTGATTTCAGAACAACAATAATCTGGATTCCACAGATTTAATTTCATAAAGGGGTACATTGTTATATGCGACAGAGTGCCCCACTGCTTTCACTTTGGTGAAAAAGGATAAAAAAGTCTATTAGTTTTACGATAAAGATACATGAGCAAAAGACAGTAGGGTTTTTGCTAGGAATGGCTTGCTTTGGTTAAAATAGCTTGTTTGGTAACTAATTTTTAAAATTTTTATCACGTTAGATGTTCTTTCAGAACATGTGTCTGTGTACACACCCACGCACATGTCACACACACACACACACACACACACACACACACACACACGCATCTGGCTCTCCATTCACTAAAAATTAAAGGGCAAGAAACCAGGTAGATCTGAGGTCACTTAGTTCCTTCAAAGCTACTCTCCTATTTTCTAGATATGTCTACTTATTCAAATTATTTCACCTTTTATACTCTTGTAACACCTTGTATACACTCTTTACAGTCTTCTGTAAAATGCAGATGAGACTAATACCTGCTTGCAGGGTTATTAAAAAGAATAAGTAACATCATATGAAAAATATCGGGAATGTAGTAATGGTATTACTTTTGTTTTTCCTTTTTCTTTCTTTATCAGCCTCATTTGCAAATTCACCTTCCATTATTGGCTCTAAAATATTGGAATTTCCCTAGGTTTTCATGCTTGGCTTTTCCTCTTCCCTTTTGATTCATCCTTCATGGCTAATCTTGGCTGTGTAGACATCCTTATGGGTTGATGATTCCAGCTTTATCTCCTACAGTCCACACATGGATATATAAATAACTACTAAAAATCAAGGCTTACATGTCTAACCAGCCCTTCAGAATCAGCTTATGTCTTTACCTTTCTCCAGACTCTCCTTTCTCTAAGTTTTCTAGATCAGCGTATGGCCCCACTATCCACACAACTTCAAACTAGAAACGTGGAGACGTAATCCTCGGCCTCACGGTAGTGCTCATTCCACACCTCTACTCAGTCCCTAGGTGTCGTCACACAGCTCAGAACGCTTTCTCGATGTCCTCACTCATCGCCATTCCATTCCATGTCACCCTTTCCTGGGACAAATCATGATCACTTCTCAAAGAATTATTGCAATTGTTTCTCCTTTCTAGCCACCTCTTTTTAGTCACGCCCACTTCTAGGTAACACCAGAAGGCAGAAATAATTTTTTAAAAGACAAACACAGCGATGTTAGTTTCCTAATTAAACTTCTTCGGTGGATTTCCACTTGGAATCAAAATCTGTAGATTAATGCAGCCCCCATTTCCCCATCCCTACCCACACCAATCCTCAGGGATCTCACCCGACTCCATAGTTTTAAAACAATTTTATTCTAATAACTCCCATGTTTACATCTCCTGGACTCCTATCGAGACTCTACCCTGAGCTGAGCCTCTCTTACAGTAGCTGACTTCTCCTTTGAAATTATTCACAGGTGTCTTAAAAATCTGTCTTTCCCAGAACGCTGCCTTTCCCTCCTGGCTTCCTCATTTCACTAAACCACTCCAACTGTTGAAGCTTCCCAAAACTAGGAATCATCTCTGATTCATTTTTTTCCAGCGTATTTGTCCAATCCACCTGAAGTCCTATTAATTTTATCTCTAACATTTATATCAAATTTGCCATTTTTTATATTTGATACCCATTACCTCTCCGTCATCACTTCTCATCTAGACCAATGCAAAGCCTTCTATCCCATTATTTCTAGCTTTGCCCCATCCCGTTCACTCCAATATACGACAGAGGAGCCTAAAAGCATAAACCACCTCCCTCTCTTGCATAAACCTTCCAGTGACTTTCTGTTGCTTTTAAAATAAAATCTAAAATCCTTACCTGTCACCAAACCGGGTCCAGGAGGTTAGTGAAGCAGTAATGAGAAGCCTAACCCACTCCAACCATAAAATGGATTGCAAGTTTGCTGACTCCCATCTCAGAAAAAAGAATTTTCAGGACAATCAGTCAGAGGCTTGGGGAAAGTTTGTTAGTCGGAGATTTTAGCACACACTCAAGAGTGGACTGTGAGCTTTCAGGAAGATGAGATGCATTATTTCATGGAACAGGGAACATTCATGCTTCTCTTTTGGGGGGTGAAAACCCCAGGGAAAAGGTAGCTCATCCCCTAGAAGGATACTAGCCCTTTTACAGGTTAGGATCCATTTTGTTTTTGTTTTTCAGATAGGTAATTTAAATATTCTTTGGATTCACTCAACCTGTTTCTTTAACTTAAAATCAGGTCCCTGCTCTTTATTTTCTCAATAAAACCAATTCGTAGACTTTCAGTGTCCCTGAGGAATTTGGGGTGTGATGGCTCTGGAAGGAAAGGAGCCTAAATTAAACAGCAAGAGGGCTGATGTGTCACCTTGGGTGACTTGTAGTCCCAGAAGTTTCAGTCTTCTTAAAAGTACAATTTTTAGTTATGATTTTCTTGTCTTCTTTCTGCCTTTGTTTTACTCTATCTCAGCCCTATTCAATCTGCGTAAATTTCCTACAGTCTGATTCTCCCCCGAGAAAAGCACCCCATTTCCTCCTCACTCCCTTTGAATCCCAAGCATCCAGGACAGAACCTGGTTACACAGGCAGCCTGCAATAAATGCTTTTGAAAGAGTGGCTAAAAAGTCGCTTGCAAGAACCTTCTCAGTCCGGTGCCCACTGCAGCAATGCTCTATCTCCCCACGTCGCTGTCTATTGTCCCCCAAATGCTAGGAGCAGAGTGAGATAGACAGTGTCTACCTTACAGTAGGAGCCAAAATCAAAGTGAGAGAGGGCCAAGAGTTAGGTGAAAACTCATGACAGAATCAGAGGTGACTGAGGCAGCATCTATCCCAGGGTAAACTTCCAGGATCTCCTCTCAGTTCAGAGTTTTTTAGATTTTTTTTATTTTTATTTTTTTTTAAGGTTTTGATTGTTGTTTGTGCTTGCTTGCTTGTCTGTTTGTTTGTTTGTTTGTTTGTTTTCCTAATGCTCAGGACCAAACTTGGGGCCTTACATATGCTTGGCAAGTGCTCTACCACAAAGCTACACCTCTAACCTCTCTTGAGAAGATTTAAGATGCTGTTGTTGCTGTTGTTGTTATTGTTGTAAAGTGTAAATAACATAGAGTTCATAATTTTGAGTATATAATTCATTAGTATTAAATTCATTCCCAATGTTTTATTTTGCCATTTTCTACTTCCAGAACATTTTAAACTTCCCAAACAGAAACTCTATATCCATCAAACACTAACTTCTCAGCTTCCCTTTCCTCCCCTAGAAACCTCTATTCTACCTTCTGTCTCTATGAATTTGCCAGTCCTTGGTACCTCATACCTGGAATCACACAATACTTGTCCTTTCATTTCTGGTTTCTTTCACTTAATATGATGTGTCCTTAAAGATCCATCCATGTTGTAAAGTATGCCAGAATCCCACTCCTTTTAATGGCTGAACCATATTGAGTTTGCTAACTTCATTTGTCCAGTAGGTACTGAGCACTTTATTAAGGACCAAGCACTCTTTTAAGCACTATCAAGAGAACACCGTGCAAAACAGAAAAAATTATCTCTCACTTCTTATAAATAAACAAGTGAATATATAGAGTGCCTGATGGTGACAAGTGATTTAGAAAAAGTAGTATTGCAAGAACTGTATAGGAAGAGATCTTGAAAGCAGGTAGCACCATTCATATAGCGCTTTGAGGGTTAGGGTAAGAATCTGAGGTTTGCTCTCTGATGAAAAGCCAAGCGAAAGTCTCACATGATGTAATCTGACCTATACTTAAAATTGTAGCTTCAATCTTGGAACAAGACTATAAGGGGAAAGGCCGGGGATTTAGCTCAGTGGTTCTACCACCTGCCTTGCAAGCACAAGGTCCTGAGTTCAATCCCTGGTACCAAAAAAACAAAAACAAAAACAAAAAAGACTATAAGGGGAAATGCACTCAAAGCAGTGGAAAAATCAGTTAAAGTTTCTTCAGAGGGACAAAGCCTAGAGTGTGTAAGTATTTTGGAGAGATATATTTTAAAAGGTTAGTTTATGCAGTTATGGAGGCTGGCAAGTCTGAAGTCTATAGGACAAACCAGCAGGTTGGAAATTCAAATCAGAGTTGATGTTGCAGTTTGAAGTCTGAAATGTGCAGGACAAACCAAGCAGGCCTGAAACTCAGGGTTTCTATGTTGTAATCTGAAGGACAAATTTTTTTCTGAAGGAGAATCTGTTCCATGCCTGTTCTTACCTTCTGGTAGTTTGCTAACAACTTTTCACATGCTGTGGCTTGTAGACACAGCACCCTGGTTTCTGTCTTCATGTTTACATGACACTCTCCTTGTGTGCATGGATGTGTTGTCCCTTTATAAGGACACCGGTCATGCTGGAACAAGGCCATCCTACTTCAGCATAACCTCAGTTTCACTAACTACATCTACAACAACCCTATTTCCAAATAAGGTTATATTATAAGGCACTCTAGACTATGATTTCAACATATAAGCTAGAGGGAAGTGTAAATCAACGTATAACATAGGGATTGTAGCTGTGAATATAAGGAGCCATCATAATTGGCTAGTGAGTATTAAAAAGAGTCAGTGATAAATGGCTTTGACTTGAAGAAAAATAATCAAGTTGCCATTTATTGATGTGGTAAGGACTGCTGGAGGAGAAGGTTTGGAGGGGGAAATCAAGAGTTTAGTTTTGAATACTGCCTTAGTTCACATTCTATCAAATTTATTTCTATAGCAAAATATTTAATGGCAAGTAATTTATCAAGAAGAGTGGTTTAGGGCTGGGGATTTAGCTCAGTGGCACCACACCTGCCTGGCAAGTACAAGGTTCAGAGTTCAAACCCTGGTACTGGGAAAAAAGAAAGAAAGAAAATAAAATAAAAGTGGTTTATTTGGCTCAACAGTCTGGAGGGTGAGGAGCCTAAGAGTGTGGTGCCTTCCTATTATATCATAACCCAGGACAGGGCCTCGCAGAACGAGGCAGGACACAAGCCTAAGAGAACTCACCTGCTAACAAAGCAAGTCTAGACATAGCCCATTAATCCATAAATGACTGCAGAATCTTCATGCTCCAAATACAACAGGTCTCACCTCTGAGCACAGATATATGAGGAGCCAGGTTTTCAGCACATGAACTTTTGAGTGATGCATTTAATTCGCAACAAATACAATAAGTGTTCAAATAAAACCAGACTCTTTCCCTGAACCCTTCACTGTGTTAGTAGTGCTGGTGGGAGAAAACAGAGGTCCCAGTTGTTTCTGCTACAACAGGGCAGACAGAGACTTCCAGGGCTACCCCCCACCCCAGACTTACATGGCCTCAAAGTAGCTCATTTCTCCTTCCTCACTACTATTTCCTTCATTATAACAAGGTCTCTATGACCTCCCAACATAAGCTTTTGGCGTATTTACATTTTAAACATTATTAAAAGAATGGATGAAGCCAGAACTAAATTGCAGAGATACCCATTTTAACAGTGATATTTTCACTAGGTGCATTGAGATTCTAAGTGAATCTTAATAAAAGCATGTTATTAATAGTTTGGCTGTCTTCCAATTAATACCTGTGATTCTTAATAGCCATGCTCTGTTTAGTGTATTTACTGCCACCTTCTAACCTGTATGATTTATAATAAGTGTGGGCAGAATTCCCTTTTTTGATCAATGTTACCTGGATTCTGAGATCCTAGAGAAAGAACTGTCTCTAAATAACAAAATGAAAATATATAAACTGGCTAAATCACTTCAAAATGGAGTTTAAAAAAGTAAAGTGCAGGAGAAAATAGATCAATTCATAAAGTTAAGAATGATCTCAAATTTTGTCCTGTGATTTAAACCCTGAAGGTGTTTAGAATGTTTTGGTAAAATGTTTTGGTTCAATTCTGCTATGGGTGTTACCTTTATGAAGTGGTTCTATTTAGGTAGGAATGAAAAATCTTCAATATGCCTTTGAAAGAGATGAGATTATTTATATTGATCTGAGATACAGTGATTTTTCTAGTTGTCTAAAGGCATTCTGCTCATTTTTCAATAGCCAACCCGATTAGTTAGGGAAGGTCTATGCAAGCAGAACAAAGTATGCCCTGCGTACCCTGCATTCCTAAGACGGTGCTGCTCATGCTTGTTCCATTTTGTAGCTATAGTTACTGAAACTCCCAGACTGCCATCTAGAATTTGGCCCAAAAGGCAGACGACCCTTTTGGGGGCAGCTCAGGGCAGCTGAAGGTCTTTCTTCGGATAACTTTTCTCATATCAAAATTTGTGGCCACATTTATGCTGTGGTATGCCTTTGCTGAAGGGCCTAGGGAAGCCAGCACCCCATATCCACCAGACTTCACACTGGTTCCTACACCAGGGCCAGGCTCAGAGTAAGCAGGCCTGAGCCAGAATGGCAGTGGGAAGGTCAATCCAGGCAAAGGCAAAGGGTACATATCTCTACAGCAGCAAAGGAGCGGGAGCCTTGCTTTTCTGGGACTGGGACTTTTATTTTGTCATTTGAACATTTCCAACACTTCTCTCACAAGAGGCTCTGTCTTGAACCACAGGACCGAAGCAAAATGCCTAATGAAGCGTGATAGAGGAAGGGGCTTATAAATGACTTGGGAAGAAGGGCTGGGGAGAAAAAAAAGAAGGGTCCGGCTGTCACAAAACCTTGTGAAAACAGCAGCTGGAGACACCAAATTCCGGAACCCACAGAAAACCTTTAAAGCAACTAGTGACCCCCTCACAGTTTTGAGTGTGTCTCAGAAGCGCCCAGGGGGCTCACTTCCGGTGGCGTTTTCATCTTCGTTCAAGCTGTTAGGGGAGGGTGAGTTGGAAAGGTCTTGAGTGCGCACAGTCAGACTCTCGGTACCTAGGGACCTGGCAGGGCCTTTCTTGACTTCCTAGAGTAGGGTTCCTCTGGCCCAAGTGTCCGGACCGCTATGGTTCCTGCACTCTCCCTGGGTGGCCGACGCCGGTCACCGCGAAGCCTAGTCTGGGGAGCTGGGAGCTGGGAGCAGACTCTGGCAGGGCCGCAGTTCCCTGCAGGTGGGTGCGGGTGAGGCTGTGACCCACTAAGGTCCAGCCTCCCAAAGTAGCTGTACACCCCGGCCAAGGGCTGAGCCACTACTCTATTCCCTGTCGGAGGCTCGCCTCTTGTGCCCTCCTCCCGGGCAGAACGACCCTGGGGTCGCCACTGCCGACTCAGTTTTCCAACTAGCCCATTTGCCCAACTCAAATGAGCTACTGGCGCTCCTCCAAAAGCCTCCCCAGCTCCCAGCTCCAGATCCTAAAATAAATGCACCGTGCCAGAAAAGAGGGGGAGAGGGATCATGTGAATCAAAAGAATGAAGATTATAGAACGACCCCATTCTCCAGGAAAAGGTAATGAGGGGAAGCGAAACAGTGTGAACTTACTCGGAAATGCAAACCGAGCTCAACTCTCCCGGGCGCAAACAAACGACCGAAAGACAAGTCAGCCAACGCTCTCGGCGGCTTCCCAGAAAGGGCCTCATGAATGAGAATGGGTTGCTAGGTTTCCTCCCTTCCTCCTGACAATCGCTTCCCACAAGATTTCCACCACCTAAAGAAAACAGGCAGGGCCTGGTGACAGCGGAGAGGGGAACGGTGCCAGCACCGCCCACGAGGGCTCCTGGGGCCGCTCCCGCCTTCAGGACCCTGGAGAGCGTTCGCCGCGCCCCCGGGACCCGCGCCCAGAAGTGCGCGGCGCTCTCCCCTCCCGTGCTTTCCCCCACTGTCACTTTTATTCGCTGCTTCCCGCCTCCACCTTCATTTTTCTTGGCAACCACCACTCTTGTTTTTCACAGACAGATTATATTGTTTTTTTGTTTTGCTTGAGAGGAAGTTTAGGTTTGGCCGAATTCGCTTTAACTACACTAAACTTGCGCACCAAGATGCACTGAAAGCAAAGACTCAAACACAAAAGCCTGAACAAGGCCAAGTGGCTTTCACAAGCCACTAAGTTCAGTTCCTTTATCAATGAAGATGAACTCAAAGACTCAGAAGTCATTCACAAGGTTAGCTGTGAAATTAGTAGCAATGCGCAGTCTAGAAACTTGGGTTCTGGACCTTTACTGATTCCTAAGAATACTTTTTATTCATTCTCCAAGACCAAAAAAAAACAAAAAACAAAAAACAAAAAAACTTCTACCTTCACCCTCATCACTTAGGTCTCTTATGCAACAAGTGGAAAGATAAAAAGGCTGGGTTCCTGAAAATAAGATAGACACATGGAATCCATAGTAGATATAGTAGTGGCCTACTACACATTGAGTCCCAGTCTCCTCCACTGCACTTAGCGAAGCCAAATTTATTAGTCAGTCCCTTTCTATACTCAGCGCAAGTCGAGTCTGGGATTCCCTCTGCCACCTGTGGCTATCCAAGCTTCCCCTGAACAACTATCCCAGTGGAACTCAGTGGCCAAGTCCAACTCTGTGGAAAACGACAGCTAAAATGAGGACGGATCAAAAGAAGGAGGGAGAGAGGAAGAGCTGAAGTGAAGGAAGATTTTTCAAAGTCTAAAAGAACCAAGAGTTGTGAGCACAGACGCTTCTACACACGTGTTCCTCCAACGTGCATACAAATTCCCAGCTTGCGGATTCTGATAGTGTGGGTTGGAATAGGGCCAGTGACTTTGCATTTCTAAGGAGCTCCTGGATACGGGCAGCGCAGCTGGTCCACTAACCACGCTTGAGAGGCGCCGAGTTAGAAAAGGGGGAAAGAAATAAAGGGGGAGGAATCTAACCTTAGGCCTTTTCTTTTGCTTTCACTGACCTCCTCTTGAACCCCCAAAGTAGCTTCTCACAATGGTGTAGTAATGGCCTCATCTAAGTGGCTGGAAACAACAGTAACCGTGTGCTGGTTTTGTTTCTCTCTCCCCACCACCACCACCCCCTGTCTTCCCACGCCAGCCCTGCACAGCTCCCAGGCTCGCCCGCTGCCCTGAAGTTGCTCAGCCTCCTTTCTAGTCCGATCTCCAGCCTCACGCAGTTCTTCGCTCGCCTTCTCCGGCGACCGCCTCCTGAACCTCCCCGGCGGTACCCGGACTTCCCTCTGCTTCCTGCCCCATGGGGCCCCCGGCTCTCTCGAGGGCACGAGGGTCTGCCTGGCCGCCTTTTGCTCCTACTCGGGACAGCGCGGTCACTGCCCTGCCGACCCCCGGAGGGTCGCCCGCTGAGGCTGGCCGATTGGGTCGCCAAGCCCAGAGAAGAGGAGGGCAGCGCTGGGCAGAGTTCGCCCATGTCCGTGAGTACCGTGCCCCTTTTCGGCCTCACGCGCACGCCAGCCTCTCCCACTTGTTCCTAATCGCTACAGACCCGCACCGCCCCGGCCGGCCGTAGGAGGATCGAAGGTCGGGGCACAACCGAGCCCCCAACCACCCACCTACACACACCCGAGAAATTAAGCTATTTTCTCCTGGGCCATTCGGCCCCTGCCCATGGTCTGTGGAGCGGGAGGGCGCCCTCTCCTTCCTCCTAGGATGCTTTTCAAACTGGGCGCGCAGCCGTCCTCCCCCTCCTCCGAAACTCCCCCAGACACGCCTCCGCGCGTTCCGGGCCCTCGCCCTCCCACTCCCCAGCCCTCTCTGCAGGCCAGGGAGGAAATGACGTGATGTTATTTTTGTGTCAGGTCAGTTATTTTGGTCCTGGGGCGCTGAGGCTCACTGCCCCGCCGCCACTGCTCCCTCCGCGCGCGGCGTCCTCAGAGCTGGGCGCCAGGGTTTCCCCGCCTCCCAGTCGGTCTTTCCTAGCCACGAACTCTGCAGTCCCTGGAGAAGGGGGCTTCGGGGTTCAGAGAGTCTGCCTAGGGGCTCCGAGACATCTGAGTCGGGGGTCAGCTTTCCCTGCGCCCCGCCCCTCCCAGGGACTCCAGGTGCCTCCTCGGGGCACTGGCTGACTAGGACAGGGTGAAGACCCCCTTTCCAGGGTGGGAGGACAGGAGGTGGAGGCTGCCCAAAGACCCGGCGGGGACCGAGCGCAGAAGCAACCGGGGCGCGCAGTGCACAGGCGCGGTTTTGGGGGACTGAGCACCGCCTGCGCGGCGCCGCCCGCCTCCCTTCATTCACAAGGTCCAGGCGCGCTGGCCCGCACACTACACTGTCGCGCTCGGCCCCCGCACGCTCGGCGGGGGCGCTAAGAGCGAAGG